CCCCATCACAGGCATGGATTTCAGAAAGGGGAAATGGAAATGAATTTCTCTCTTTTGAATAATACTTAAAAGGCAAAAACAAATACACACAATAAGGTATTTTGATGTTTGGCACAGCTGCTCTGAAATATTCCATCCAAACAGCTTCAATTTTAAAGGGGACAATGTCAAACAAGTAAGGGCTTGTCTGTATCTTAACGGGATTATTTGGGATGTAGGGCCGGGGATGGAAGGAATGGATGTGAGCAGGAAACTAACCTTGAGCTAAAGGATGAGCAGCTGCACCTAAGAATCTGGGAATACTATTTGGCTGGAACAAGGAAGGAAATCTTACCTTTTGCAACAGCATGGATAGACCTGGAGATTATAATGCTGAGCGAAATAAGCCAGTCAGAGGAAGACTGATTTCTGGTGAAAGACTGATTATATGTGAAATCTAATGAACAAAATAAACTGATGAACAAAGTAGAAACTGAGTCATGGACACATGGAGCAGACTGACAGCAGTCAGAGGGAAGATGGGTGAGGCGGGCAGGACGAACGAAGGTGAAGAGATCAGCCGAACATACATGCACAGCCCCTAAACACAGACAACAGCGGGGTGATGGCCAGAGAGAGGAGAGGGTGGGGTCTGGGTGGAGGAGGGCAAAGTGGGGGAGGATGGGGGACATGTGTAATAATGTCAACAATAAAAATAAAATTAAAAAAATCAGACTGCCCTACGGAAAGATTTCCCTTTATGAAGCAGATGACACACCAAGTCTCAATTTGTACATGGGAGATCTTTTCTACTTTTAGCGTTATATAATAAGGTGATATTTCCTAAGCTTCTAATATTCTGAAGCCTTTTTAATTTCAAAATTTAAAAATCGCCTAGCCAGCCCTGGCCAGTTTTGCTCAGCAGTTAGAGCATCGGCCTGCGGTCCAGAGACCCGGGTTCGGTTCCCGCTAAGGGCATGTACCTCGGTTGCAGTTTGTCCCCGGCCCTGGTCAGGTCGTGCGGGTGGCAGCCGCTCAATGGTGTCCCTTTCACGTCGATGTTTCTCTCTCTCTCTCTTCCTCTCTCTCCCTCCCACTCTGTCTGAACAAAAAATGGAAAAATGTGCTCGGGTGAAGATAAAAAAAAAATCACCTGGCCAGTGTGGTTCCATGGTTTAATGTTGACCCATGCACCAAGAGGTCATGGGTTCAATTCCCAGCCAGGTCACATGCCTGGGTGGTGGGCCAAATCCCCAGCGTGGGGAATGCAGGAGACGGCCAATTAATGTGCTCTCTCGTCGAAGATTCTCTCTCTTCCTATCCCTTCCTCTCTCTCTCTCTCTCTCTCTCAAATCAAAAAAAAAAAAAAATTTAATAAAAATTTTAAATACATTTTAAAAATAACAATTTTAACAGCTAGGACACCTCATAAATAGTTTTCTTAGTTCCAAGTTCACAGTTAGGAATTGCTAGGAGGGAAAGTCTTAAAATCCCTAGAATCCTTATGTTTCAGCAGAAGTTCCAGAGAAAAACAGATTTGACTCATATGTTCTTCAATTGTCCCCTCAGCTCTAACCCATTTTCACAGAATAGCTAGAAGAGAGCTTAGACCAGGAGGGACTCAGATGAACTCTAAAAGACCAGGCTGGGATTGGGCAATAATCCTGACCCAGAGGTGTGGAGGTTGGGTAACATCCACACAAGACTCCATTGAAGTAAACAAAAGCCTCCTCTTTGCTCATGTCTTTCCTCATAGACCTGAAAGTTGTTTACCAAACAGAATGGACTTCCCGAAACACACAACATGGAAAAAACGTGTTCTCCCTCTTCCTCTCACCCCTAACTAGAGACTTAGGAGTTTAGGTCTCAAGCAGCATCCATGGGCATAAACATCAAGATTATAAAGAACTCACTAGTATGACAATGTCAAATAGTACCAACAGTAGTTGGTGGGTTGTTTTTTGTACACGTGGTAATATAGACTGTGAACAATGTGAGGCAAGGTCTTGTATCTTAGTCACCTCTTTGTCCCATGTTTAGTACAGTGCCTGGAACAAAGTAAATGCTTAATAAGAAGTTGTTAAACAAATCAATTCTTAAGCTAATACTTTTTTTCATTTTTTTTTTTATCCTCGCCTGAGGACATTTTTCCATTTTTTGTTCAGATAGAGTGGGAGGGGGAGAGAGAGAGAGAAACATCGACGTGAAAGGGACACATCGAGTGGCTGCCTCCTGCACAACCCAACGGAGGGCGGGGACAAACTGCAACCAAGGTACGTGCCCTTAGCGGGAACCGAACCCAGGTCTCTCTGGACCACAGGCCGATGCTCTAACTGCTGAGCCAAACTGGCCAGGTCCTTTTTTTTTCATTTTTTATTTAATTCAGTCAGTGTAAAACTATTACTTGAGCACCTGTTATGTACCAGATACCGTACAAAGCTGGGAGTGGACAGACATGAGTCATTCCTCACACCTTATAGTCTGATTGAAATTGATGAAGTAATTTACACTCCTGATTACTGACACCGTTACTGTAACACTGGGGACAAACAACACTACTGCTGAGCCACTATTTCCTCACATACAGTTTAATGATTGAACAAAATTACCTATTCTATAAAGTCACTTAAGCTGTAAAAGTATTGTAAAGGGTATGAAACAGATAAAGCATCATATAAATTGTTTTAAGATTATAAAAGTATTTTTAAAAATTTGAATACTGCCCCGTATAGATGTTCTTCCAGGCCCAAAGCAATTCAGCTTCTCAAATGGACATGTGCACATCATTATATAAACTACATGAAGAAGTTAGCAATTCTAGCATCGTATTTTTAAATCAGATCTCTGTTGTACAATAAAAAAAATAAAATAAAAATTGCACTCAGTAAATGAATTAGTGCAATGGAAACAACTTAAGAATGACCAAGGATTTTAACCTGAGTGGTATTTAGGAGATTCAAGAACCCTTTGAAATTATATGCAAAACTGTATGTCTGAAGACCACTTTATAGAATTTTTGGGTTTTATCAGAGTCTCAATGAGGTCCACTATCCAAAATGGTTTTCTTCACTCAGTGGGTAGTAACTAAATATCAAGTACTTGCCAGGCATTGTACTATGGTTCAGGCTTAGAATCTAAAACATTTTTTACAAAAATGAATCTTAAGTGCATCAAATTTTTATAGGATCTGCTTTCTCAAATCCACACCATTAAGATTAATGGGTGCTCTCTTATACATATTTGCAGCCCAAATCGGGCAAGATACTATGTAGTCACTTAATGTGATATATGCTGGTAAAATATTCTTTAGAAATATATTCTTATTTGGCTTCATGGAAAAACCTTAAGATGACAGAACTCATAGGGGCTTGAGTGAATAATACATACACACATAATTTAAGAAATCTCTAGTGAATCGTGCCGCTCACACTGTTTAAATCATTCACCAACTATCTTACACCACACCTGGGTTTCTATTTATTTATAACAATAACAATAAAGCTGTCCTTTAAAAAACTGACAACATGTAAAAAAAAAAAAAAAAAACCTTCATAAAATTGTATTATAAGCAGGTTTTTTTCAGGGACTTTTCATTGACTGAAATAAAGTTTTCAAATGCTTCAGATAGAAAACAAAAAGTTTTTTTTAAATCTTAAGTAAACCTCTAAAATTCAATAATTTTTCTCCTTTGGAAATCTTATAATCTCTCCTCAATGCATTAAACACTAATCAATATTTATCTGAGCCCTGACCAGTTTGGCTCCGCGGTTAGAGCATCGGCCTGCGATCCAGAGAGACCCGGGTTTGGTTCCCGCTAAGGGCATGTAGCTCGGTTGCAGTTTGTCCCGGACCTCGTTGGTTGTGTGGGTGGCAGCCACTCGGTGTGTCCCTTTCACGTCGATATTTCTCTCTCTCTCGTCCTCTCTCCCCCTCCCACTCTATCTGAACAAAAAATGGAAAAAAAATGTCCTCGGGTGAGTATATTAAAAATATATATATATATATAATCTGAAAAGTCATTTAAATTTTCTGAATAATGTTATTTTTACCTTTCAGAATGACTGTCATGTTCTTGTCACAAACATACAGAAAACAACATTTCCCCAGATTCAAGCATAGCACACTAAAAAATCAAAATTCTCATCCACAGCAGATGTTCCCTTTATAATATAGAAATTTCTATGTAGCATAATCAAAAATTACTATTTCAAAAAAATGGATACCTCATATGAATTGGGAAATTTAGGAAACCATTGGCTTGTCCTATACTATCAGAAGTGAGTTGCAATTAGTGATAGTGGCCAGGAGATGGCGCAGTCTCATTTCTTAAGACTTACTTCACTGGTCTTCGTGTAATTTACAACATTCACTTTAAAAAGAAATGTTTTATTAATGGCACTGTTGTCACAAGCCACCGTTATAATGAAAAATAAGACATTCAGGAAAAAATGAATTTAAATTTCTTAAAATTTGTACTTATTACTAATCATTTATATGTGAATAAACTACTTTAAAATACTTTGAATAACTTTTTTTCTTTCCAGTGTATAAGGAACAGAAGGAAAGAAAAAGTTTAAAACAATAATTAGGTTGGAGTACTTCAATTTCTCTATTCTTTCTTTTGGTTAATTTTATATAATGCTAGATTGTTTTATACTTACAAACATATTTTACAACTATAAACTCCACTTTTCAATAATATAAAAACAAGTATAGTTGTAAAATAGAAACTTTACAATGTATATTTCAGGGGAAAATTCAGTAGTTTGAAATAAAAGTATTTCTTAAAATGGCTTTATTCAAATATGTATAATATTTAAAAGCTTCTTTCACTTATTAAATGCTAAAGTCTTTAAATCTCAAGTTTATTATATTGCTTTTTAAACAAAATAGCATATTTAAGGCCTGGTAATCCACTCACATACATAGTGAACACATTAATAGATGTGGGTGCGTGTAGGTGTGGGGTTGTATTGCATGCCTTCTAGAAATACTCCGGAAAGAGAGAATAGATAGATGGGTTAAAGATTATCCTGATTCAGCCTGGAATACAGTCTGCTACCAGTTACAAAGTCTTTACTGGGATGGTAGGAAGAATCCCTAATCATCCCTGAAAAGGCATAATCCAAAACTGGGTGAAAAGGCAATGGTGGTACCAACCCGGGAGTTAGGTAGGGAGACATGAAACCAGATAACCCTCTTCCTGGAGAGGAATATGCCAGCCGTAATGGACTGATACCTAGTCTAGGACTTAAGCTGTAGAGACTTGAATCACCTCCAGAAGCAGAAGCGGTTTGAAGAGGAGAGAAGGCTGATTTATTTCCTAGAGTTCCAAAACCAATTCTAGCTAAACTAAAATTTGAAGCTCTCTGAAAAGCTGTAGCTCCCAATTCTCCTGAGCTTGCTAGGTTCCTGGTGTCTGATTGGTGTTCTTTCCCATTTAGGACCTGTTCGATAGCTTGGACCACATCCCCTTTGCAGAGCTGTAGAATGCCTTCTAGTCGGCTGCGCCTGTAACTTGGGAAAATCTTGGTAAGGATATCAAGAGGATCTCTTGATCTTGCAGATACTGTGCAAAGTCTGGATCTGGCAGTACTGAAGTTTTTGACCCACTCATTTTCATTTCCCGATTCCAGATCAGAAGATGATAGAGACCTGGGACTCTCTTCACCTCCTGATTGTTCCTCAGGGTGAGGAGACAGAATGTGCTCATCCTTGCTTGAGTTTTCTGAAATGGATGCCCTAAGATTTTGTTTTCCAATGACACCAATAGACTTAGGAGATGATCCCAGGGTAGGTTGATGGGATTTGGAGACTGGTTCTTTTTGTCCACTCTGGCATGAGTCATATTTACTGTCTTTTTGTTCTGGGGAAAAAGAAAAAAACAAAAGGAGTCAAATAAAGGGAAAACTTCCTAGAACATGGTGCTACACACTCAAAAATATTGCTGGATAAAATAATTCATTCCCTCATAGAGTATCAGTAATACTTATTCACTATAAAACATTTTAATGAATAAGAATTTTTAAAGATCATTTGAAAATGTCAGTGTTGGAATAGTGGGAAAATACTATTCATCATGCCATTTCAAAATCAAAGAATTATATAATATATAAATGAAGTAGTTATTTAGGAATCAGAATTGTAACCCTGAATTGTGAATGTAACACCAATATCTCACACTGTTTGCTCCATCTTGGCAATTTGAAGTTTTCCTAAATGTTACCCAAGTTTTGTTGTTATCCAGGTGAGTAATTTTCGCATGATGACACCATTGAAAACGAACTAAATAAAATTATTATGTGTAGATAAGAAATCAAAAGAAAAAGCAATCTGAGTATGAAAAGGAATATTGTATTTAACCACTAAAGCTGCATTTCTACAATTGGTTTTTTAATGCTCACATTTCAGGTTCCAATTAAGTTACCTGAAGAATGTGAAAAAAATAACAAAATTGTTTACTACATTTACAAAATTGTTTACTAAATCTAAACCAATAATGACTACTGCTATACCAATCTCAAATCACACCAGTCACATGTTGCATATTATGTGAGAGATGATACAGAGTTGGTGTTTTTGTTTTTGTTTTTTAATAATCCTCTGTGAACTCTGGACTTTCCTTTGCAATCTCTAGGAAAATATCAAGAGAAGAGGTTCAGTCAAATTGTTTCTAAAAGAAAATCAGAAACTGCACTATTGCACTGCTACAATCTGTATGGATCTTCAAAGTGTGGGGTACAAATAATATATTAGGCATTTGCTTCAAATTACAACTCCCTCCTAATATTAAGAAAAATTTTCCAAAAATATTGTATACAACAATCTGATTTTACTACCTCAATATGTTGAGTATATGAATATTAATAAAACAGGAATATCTTCAGGAAAATAATAATACATATGTTCATTTAAAAAACTTTTATTTTGGTTTACCCTATAGACATATTTTGTCTCTATTTCCATTTAAAAAGAGAATATTGTCAGGTGGGGGTATTCAGAATATTCAGTCAAATATTCTTCTACAGTTCATGAATGCAACAAAACAAACACTGCCTGAAGCAATGATCTGAAACCACAATTTACAAAACTCTTATGTTTTCTCAAGGAAAGGTCCTAAATTCTAAAGAAATATCTACAGTTTAATTTAAAGTTAAAGTGTACAATTTAACACTTTGATCATTGAAATGTCATTATCTAAAACATATAACAAAAGAAAAGATCTTGCTCCTGCAAAATTACAAAGACTCCAGTATTTTTCAGCTTTAAATAAAACAATAAAACTCTTTTGATGAAGTCTGCCAAGTTGAGAGAGATTGGCATTGGCCTGCCATTTATTTACAAGTTTATTCACTAAATATTGACCCCCAACCCCAACAGTTAGATTTTACAATTTTATCTCTAAAGCAATTTATGTATATATTTGCTATTGCATTGTACTCATAGAGTATAATATAATGCAATGAAATACTGAATGCATGAGACTATCTAGAAAATTAGGTGTTACTAAAATACTGTGGTATCATATATATCATCTCCCTGTTCTCTCAACTCCTACAGCTCATTTTACTTCTTTACTTTTATCATTGTTTATTATGTCTTGTAGTTTTGGGATAGGTATAGTTTTCCTCATTTTGAATATAAGGTTCTTTTGTGTAGGAAAATCTTATTCACCTCTAAATCACTGTTAGTCTTTGTTTCATGAATGAGTCAATTAAATACCTTCTTACAGTTCATGGATAATGTGTAAGAGGAGGAGGTCAATTTAGAAAAGCCATGAAACTAGTCTTCCAAAAATGGGCATCGACTGAAGCAAAGACTAAAATAAAATAATTGATCCTATAAAACAGAACACTTTGGTACCCCTCCAAGGAAAATACATAAATCAGTATGTAGCTGAGTGTTGTCAGCCAAATCTCACTGTCAATTCAGTTTACAGAATTTTAACTTTTTTTTATAGTCGTTTTGTTTAATAACTTTGTTCTTCCGCCCTCTTTGCTTTTTTCATGAGAAATGTTTAAAGTCTATTTTGTCTCCTTAATTAACTAGAACATGGGCAAAAATGGCATAGGTAAAAAAAATTATATATGCCTTACGTAATGCAGAGATAGCCTTTTTTCAAAAGTACATTCTGTGATCTATGGTCTGCAATTTTCACAATCCAGGAACATTTTTGAATTAATAACTTACTACTGTATCATTATTGTATAATTTCATATAATACAACCTGTCTTAGATTTATACAAATACTGAAATAACATTTTCACTGTTAGTGGGCCCTGTGGAGAACTATGAAATTCACTAAAATATAATGCGATTTACATTAGCAGGAAAAGTTAATTTGGGATAGCCCTAGTCAAACATATATATATAGGACCTAACAGTATATGAAAATGATTTGTAGATGATAAATAGGAACAAATAATTAAAACTCCTTTGATAAGAAATCCCTAATATGGGGCTTTGAAATTCTTATCGATGTTTTTACAAATCTGGAAAACTTAATTTTATTTTTCATATGGGAAGAGTTGAAACTTCAGATATTAGGCACTATATTTTAGGAGGCTGACAAATGAGGATTGGGGTGGAATACCTAAAGTTGGAAGAGAAGGGGAGGAAAAGAGGCTTTGGTACATTTCAGTCTCTTCCCCACTTCCAGCTGGCTGCAAAAATTTGCCCCAAAGGTCAAGAATTCTACTCTCGACTACCCGTGAGTTTCCCCACACAAGCTCAGAAGACTAACTCTGGTTTTACAGCTGAGAACAGAACAGAGCAAGCTCAAAACGCGGCACCTCTCACTAGGCTTTTCACTCAAAGCCCACTTGGGAAGTTCTCCTCACACAAAGTCATAGACACTGGGGCGCAAACTCCATTCCTAACAGGAGTTGATCATCTGATCCCCCTTCACTTTGCATTATCTTATCCTAAGGAACAGAAAGCTTTTCCAAAGTATAAACGCGATAGGTCTCAACTACCCCCATTAACGTTCTATTGCAGAGCGGAGTCCCAGAACTTAGGTTCTTCTTTTAAACAACTTCACTTGTCCGTCTCTAGGGCACCTTGCTTGTTTAAAAAGTTTTTTTCCAGAACAATCTTTTTTTTTTTTTGTTTTCTCTTGCAAAAGGAAATGAAAGACCAACCCACCTTGCTTTTGCTCCATATAATCTGGCTGGAAAACCTCGAAAGCAGGGGTCGCCAGACCACTAGCCTGTCTCAAGGCATCCAGTCCCAGCGTAGTCACCTCCGCAGGGAGGCTCGCCACCTGGGAATTCTCGGTTCTGCTCCTGCCTCCGGAGGTCCAAACCCCAGGCCCCGAGTGTGCCGGGTACAAGAGGCTCTGCAGCCCCCGGGCCTCACTCTCCTCCTGGGCCTGCTGCCTGCGCAGCGCCACCTGGGCGGCCATGACGCGCTGGCGCTCGGCGATCAGGGTGCACTTGGCACAAGCGCAGTCCCGCCAGCGGCAGAAGCGCTTGTGGCCCTTGAGCGCCGATACGACGCCGTGATTGCGACAACGGGCGCACTTGGGAGTCCGCGGGTAGCCGCAGCCCACCGGGCCCACCCCCCTCTCCAGCCCGGGAGCCGACGGGCAGCCTCCGCTTCCTGCGGTGGAGGCGGCGGTGGCGGCTGCCTGTAGAAAAAGGGTGGGAGGACGCAGGAAAGTTGGAGGAACCGGTATCCCGAGCGGTGGAGGGGCCGCTGCCACCAGCCCGGGGGCCAGGTGGGGTCGGCCGCTGCCGCTGCGGTCTCTTCTGCCACACTGGGTCTGCTCCATCCCGGAGAAGTGTCTGGCGAGGGGTCGCAACAGGAAAGTGCGCTGTCCACGGCCAGAATGCGGGCTCGGGGGGACGGGCCGTGGTCCCGCTGCTTCCCACCCACACGCGGACAAAGTTTGGCACAGTTCGCGCAGTGACTTGGGGACCACCGCTTCCCGGAGCTGCGGGTGCCTAGTGAATGAGCCTCTTCGAGTCCCGCTGCGCTGAGTTGATGCCCGGGTACTCCGCTAGCCTCGGAGCCGGAGGGAAGCCTGGAGAGGCTGCCCCGCCCACCGGGTCTCCGGCCAAGCTCCGAAGCCTGGGAGCAGGAGGACCAGAGGCGGAGAGTGGGGAGCATCTGGGAGGAGGGGCAACGGGAGAAGCCAGAAATCGTCCTGGTGGGATGCCTACGTCCCTTCCCAAAAGAAGCCCATTTCTCCCATTTGCTTCCCCATGAATTCCTCGACTTTGTTTATTCTTAAATAATCTTCACGCCCTCTTTCATGCCTCTTACTGCCCTTCTTAAATTAATCAACATTTTAAGTCCTCCTTTTCCCCAGTTCCGTGCTTCTAAGCACGTTTGAAGATTTGAATGTGGAGTTCTCCTTTTCTTTTCTTTTCCTAGATGAAGTCTTCAGGTGGTAGCATGGTCACTGTTAATGAGAAAGCTCATCTTGACGGGCTGCAAATGTTACCCACCTGAAAGATGCTATATTTTAAATGGGTCTTGGGCTATGTCAAAACAATGGATAAATAAATAGGGGAATTAATTCACATTGCGATTCTTCTCATACATTTTATTTATACATGCAAATTTGATTCTATGCATTATTAAATTTTGAAATGCAACCTCCCAAAGAAGTCTTGATGAATTATCTGGAACTATGTATTAACAATAGTGTTAAAGCTGTCTCAAAAATACTTCACATTTCCGTTGTGAAGTATGGGGGAAGGTCGTTCAGACGATTCTTTAAATGTGCTATCATAACATGCATTCTTGAAATATGCATTTAATATCTTTCATTGTAAGAAAAAATCACATCGCTTTCAGTGGTTCTCAACCTTCCTAATGCAGCAACTCTTTAATACAGTTTCTAATGTTGTGGTGACCCCCAACCATAAAATTATTTTCTTTGCTGCTTCATAACTGTAATTTTGCTACTGTTATGTCTTATGCAATCCCTGTGAAAGGGTTGTTCGACCCCCAAAGGGGTCCCGACCCACAGGTTGAGAACCTCTACTTAAACCAAAAGAGCGTTTGAGGCAGAAAACTCATGAATGTTTGTTCCTCAAGATAATATTCAGTGGCCTTGGCAGACAGTTCATATTCTAGCCCTAAGGTGGACAGTAATATTGACATTTTTACCACTCCACCCATTGGCATTCAGTGTCCAGGGAAGACACTGCTAATCAATCTGGGCTTTCTCCTGCCTGCCCACTCCACACCATCACCACCATCACCACCTGCCATATCCACATTGTGATATCCTGTCATTGAGGTTTTCTACCCCTTCCTAAGCATTGGAGCTTCCTAGGGCACTTTTAAAAGATACAAACACTCCTGCCATGGCTGGTTTGGCTAAGAGGTTAGAGCGTGGGCCTACAGACTGAAGGGTCATGGGTTGGATTCCTGGTTAAGGGCACATACCTGGGTTTCTAGTTCATCCCCGCCCTGGTGGGGTCTTTCTGGAGGTAGCCAATTAATGTGTCTCTCTCATCAATGTTTCTCTTTCACTCTCTCTCTCTCTCCCTCCCTCTCTTCCACTCTAACTATCAATGTAAAAATATCCTCAGGTGAGGATTAACAACAACCAAAAATACCTGTCCAGGTACACTGATTCTTTTGGTCTAAGTTTTTTAAACTCTCAAAGTGATATAATATACCAAGCTTTAGAACTACCACTGTAGGAATTCCTAACCCCAGCAAATGCTATAATACCCAAACTTTCTCACACCTTTGTATCCTTGCTCAAACCACTCCTGGCTAAAATGTAGTTACTACCTAACTGTGGAACTCACATTCAGTGTGTGAGAAATGAGTTTTTAGTGCTACATGAATCATTGAAATACAATCAATTACTTAGTGAGAAAACAGTTCCTTTTTTCTCTTTTTAATTACTTTTAAGACCTGGTTACAAAAAGGGAAATATACAGCATGGTGTAAGTATGTCTTTAGAATTCCTTAAGGTTTGTTAATTGTGCTTTTTAATAACGACAACAAAAATTAAAAGAGCCTCACAAGTAACAGTATTTACCTGGAATTTAACACTATTTTTTTATTTGATTATCAAAGTTACCTTCCAATTATGGCAAGTGATATTGGTTTTCATCCAAAGAAACAAAAATAATTTTAAGTAAATGTATTTAAATAAAATGTATCCATTTAAATGAAAAATGATAAATCTGTGAAAGACTCAAAACTAATAATCTTTGCTGACAAAAAATAAAAATCTAAATAAATAAAGAGATATATTGCGTTCATCATCAGAAGACTCAACATTTTTAAGAATACAATTCTACCTAAATTATTTATAAATCAATTCAATCTCAATTAAAATCCCAGCAGACTTTTTGGTATAAATTGTCAAAAAGATTCTAAAATTTATGTGTAAAATTAGACAACCAATTTTAGACAAAGGTGCAAACACAATTCAGTGGTGAAAAGATAGCTTTTTCCCAACAAATTTTTCTGGAACAATTGAACATTTGTATGTAAAAAAATAATTTTAACTTTAATCCACACATTACACAACCTACAAAAACTGACTAAAAATGGATCACAGACCTAAATATAAGTCATAGAAACATATAACATAGGAGAACACCTTTGCGATCTTGGGTTATGCAAAGATTTCTTAGATCATACAATAAAAGTATGATCCACAAGAAGAACAAATTGATAAATTATAATTCATCAAAATTAAATACTTCTCTTCTTCAGAAGACACTGTTCATAGACTGAAATGTCATACCATTGACTGAAAGAAAATGATTGTAATACATATATCTGATGAAGGCCTTGTATACATAATATATAAAGAAATTTTGAAACTCAATAGAAAAAAGAATTCTTTTTTTTTTTTACATGAGCAAAAGATTTGAATAAGTGTGTCACCAAAAATGATGTATAGATAGTAAATAAGCACAAGGAAAGAGCTAACCATCATTAGTCACTAAGGAAATGCAAATTAAACCTACCATGAAATACTTCACATCTATAAGAGTGGCTAAAATATAAAAGACTGACCATATCAAGTGTTGGCAAGAATGTGGAGCAGCTAGGACTCTCATACACTCCTGGTGGAAATGTAAAATAGTACAACCTCTTTGGAAACCAGTTGACAGTTTCTTAAAAAGTAAACATGCACTTTCCCAGTCATTCCAGAAATAAAGCAAATATCCATACAAAGACAAAAAATTTCATAGTAACTTTATTCATATAACAGTGAACTGGAAAAACCCAAACAACCATCAACATTTAGTATAAGCATATAATGGAATACTACTTAGCAACAAACAAAAGTACACTGATACATGCTACACATCAATAAACCTATAAATAATTATTCTGAAAGACAGAAACAAGATAAAAATGAGTAGGTACTATATGATATCATTTATATAAAATCCTACAAAGCTAGTGATGGAAAGCACATCAGTGGGCCCTGGGAATAGGTTGTGGAGGGACAGTGAAGGATGAACAGGAAGGATTACGAAGGATCAAAAGAAAACTTTTTTTTGCAGGTGATGAATACATTAATTATTTTAATTGTGATAATGATTGTACACATATATGTGTCAAAACATTAAATCGTATACATTAAATATGTGCAGATTATTGTTTGTTAATTATACTGTTATAAATCTGCTATAAAAGTAAAACCCCTTGTTACCTCTGGATGAAGAAAGGCATATAATAACATGAAAAAATTGGGGGCAAAAATGATCCTAATCTAAGCACCCAAAGCTGGAGCAATGATTCTGAACACTTGTATTTCTTCTCAAATACACTAGAAATCCCAGCTGTTCTCTACTCATGATAATACTATGTGTTCTCTCTTTTTCTCAAATTATGTATGCTTTTCCCCTCCATTTATTGCCACCTAGCAGCAAGTGAGTTCTTATAAGTCACTGAGAAAATATTAACAGCTGCAATTTAGCAGTGGCAACAGTTTCATTAAATGAAGAGGTAATGAGAAAGAAGAACATGTTTTTAAACTGTGTGCAAGTATCACAAATATGTCATTAAATATTCATTCTAACTAAGGTTTAAAAAAAGACTGGCCTGATAAATGGGAAATGTAAAAGCATATCAGAAGAAGAAAAGGAAGTTAATAATAGAATTTTTCCCAAACTCAAAAACATCGATGTATCTTCTTTTTATTATTTATGTCTACTCTAATCCCTTGTCCACCCTAAACTCTTAGAGTCAACAGACACTGTTTGTTGGTTCACTGTACCAACCACTCAGCATAGAGGAGTACAAGTGTGAATCAGCAGTCACAAATATAGGCCTGGCTCTGATTGTAACTAAGCTATTAGATCTTGGGCAAAACATTTATTCTCTTAGCTTCACTTTTCCCATTGGCAACTGAAAACATTAAGTCATCTCCAAGGATAAATCCAAGATTGTGGTCTATTTTTTGGCCAAGTCCTGTCTGAACTATTTTTCATTAATGTTCTCAATCTCTAAAGAACCTCATTAATACCCTCACTAAGACTCAGTCAAAGCACCTTTCCTGCTGGAAAAAATATCTTGGGCTAACCCACTGGTAGAGTAAGAGTGTTTGTACATAGCTTGGCCAGAAGGTTTTGGCAAGAAGACAGGATTTGGAAGCAGAGCTCTAAATTGCCTATTCATTCATGCATAAACATATACGATTCACTCCATGGCCTCAGAATATATGTGAGCACACCTTTTATAGTCCATCCACTCCAAGGCTTCCCAGAGCCAAACTATGTTTGCTAATGTTATGTTTTGTCAGTTTTGAGAGGAAAGTTTGAATTGCACTTCTATTTC